TGTGCTATCTGAAAGTTTTTTAAATGATAATAGCAGTGGTGTGCGGTTATTGTTTTACATTAGTTGTAGAATTATGAATTATGGACTATATAGATTTTATTTTAAAAAAAACATACTTGTAAATTATCCAAGAATAATCATATATGCAATTGTTCTTTTTCCTATTTTTTCACCATACCTAATATAAATATCCAAATACAACCATTTTTCATCTTGTTTTCTTAGCATATCTTATCACAACTGTATCTGTGTTACAGTATAATCACCTCTGTTGATGAGCTAAGCATGTTTTTGGACATAAATCGCATGTAGAATATGTTTGCACTATATTTCTACATTGCAAAGTGTTTGGAGCTGGAAATCTTTTCTGGAACATAAACTGCCATTTCAGCTTGAACACAGATGGAAGACGGAGGTAAAAGTTAGTTTTTCACTAAAAAATATCTAAATTCATATTAGTTTCATGGCTGAAGCTAATGACAACTGTCAGATATGGGTATATGTTTTGCTAAATACAATATTGTGCTTGGGGCCCTGATGATATGAGACTGTTATTGTAGATAATTGCACATTTCTAGCTTTGACACAGTTCACTACCACTAACATGAGACTTGTCACCTGGTTTTATTGCTTTCCGTGTTATTTGCTATTGAAAGAGAAGCAGCTGCTGTTACAATAATTGTAGAACATTGGTTAGTGGAAGGAAACCACTTGAGGAAAATTGTAAATAAGTTTGATTTAGTACCCTAATAAAGACAAGTCAAACATTATTATTCAGCACCTGCAACCACATTGTAGTTTTAATGAGCTTAATAAAATGAGCTATGGTTTAAATACGCTTTTGTTTTTTCTTTTCTTTTTTGTTTTAGTAATCCAATATACACTCATCAAAAACTTTATTAGGTCCACCTGTTCAATGGCTTGTTTATGCAAATATCTATTCAGCCAATGGCAGCAACTAACTACTTTTAGGCATGTACACATGGTCAAAATGACCTACTGAAGTTCAAACCACGCATCAGGAAGAAAAGTGTTTTAAATTACTTTACATGTGACATCTTTGTTGGTGCCAGTCTGTGCGCTTCAGAACTTGGTCAAGTGCTTGTGTTAGTCATCATGATGGTAGGATCAGAATTTGAAGTAAATAGCAGGAAAACATGGACCAATCATCGTATGAATGGTTCAAGCTTACGGTGGTGGTATGATGATTTATGGGATATTTATGGGTAGTAGTGTTTTTTTATACACATTACCAAAGCTGGTGTTTTGCATAAAACATATCCTGTATTGATGTATTATTTGTTCCACTAATGTGAGTGCATTGGGGTCATAAAAACTGCGTGTTTGGCACAGGTTTTTTTTTTTTTTACTTAATTGTAGCAACTCTGAGAGGATTAATGACATTTGTTTTATTCTATACACTTTCATGTCCCAGTGACCATTTAAAGTGCACTTATTGCACTTTGCACATTTATTTAGTTGAGAGCCCAGTCTTGTTAGACAAAAAATATCTGCCTGGCATGTTACCAAAATGACTTCTGAGTGGCGAGACTTCCCTCTGAAGACTTTGCTGTCTCTCCTCTTAGTCTTTCCACCAATTAATTTTCTCTTCTCACTATGGTTTTATTCCCATTATTCTTTCCTCTTCTTTGTTAGAGGCAGTTGCTGAGTTGTATTCGTGGCGGAAACTGCCCTGGACCCAACGTCAGCTCACTGCAGTTGCCTGGAGATGTGGGTTTCTTTGCCAACCAATTGGCCGTGCCTACCATGGAGTTTGCCTTTGAACAGACTAGAGCAGAAGAGGTATGTCTAAACCAAAAGACCCAATTATTTTATTTCCATTTTTCTTGTGACGCTCATTGCTTTGATTTTATGCCATGCTACGTTGTCCCTTGAGATCAGAGGAACTACCATAATACAAGGCACGGTCACACCTTGTCTTTTAGTTTCTGATAGTAAAAATTTCCTCATTAGAAGCAAAACTTGTCTTTGAGAAGGTACATTTACCTTTAACTTACGACAGACACAAACTACTTAAAGTGCATGCTTTAATGTTTTAGCGTGTGAAACAAAGTCTGTATGAATATATACCAGTTGTGTGACTGAAGTAATTACTTCATCCCAGCCTTAGTTTCACATAAATAATCTAATATATACAATATGCACTGAGACAATAATGGAAAGTATTAAACCAAAAGGAGAAGAGTATTGTTTCAGTTTGTGTGAATTTTCTTTTAAAGAAAATCTAGTAAGGACCCCATCTGTCAAACTCTGTTAAATTGGAGTGGCAGTCAGAGGGAGATCTACCACAGGGCAGTTCATATATACAAAGATAAAAAAGTGGACTGGATCTAAAATTAACGACTTTATTACATTACACGATTTACATTTTAAGACATTTTTCCAGCTATGTCACATGACCATATGTGGTACACTGTGATAACAACCATATGCAGCCCATATAGTGTCACTGCCAATATGAAGAACGTTTTCAAACTTAAGCAGAGTGCAGTATAGCTTGTCTCTTTTGTAAGGAACAAATGCACATCATAGTGCTCACAAATTATGCATGCCCCCATTTATTTCCATTAAAAATGCAGTATTGATGTTTGTTGCACAGCCTTGGGATGGAAACACAGTGATTTAGCCTCAGCTTATCGGCCCACTCAAATTTGGAACTTCTGGCTAGGACGGCAACTTTGAGCTTAATTAGTGCGAGAGATCTTCATGATGTTTATCTGCCCTCAAGGTGCCTTTACAACCTGAAAATAATAGGTGGTGGAGAGTGAAATCTGCATCACTGGGTTTGTTTAGGAAAGACAAAACCTAAATTAAATTAAAAACTATCTGTAAACAAACCTGACTCTGTTAGGGAACACCCTATATCCATATATTAGTAACGGCTTAATAGCATTTGGATTGAACTCCAGCATTTAAAATTGGAGGGCAATAAAATTTCCTCTACTGCTTTATATCTTAACCGGGTCTCTGGGGAAGCTGAGACAGACAGAAGAACCTACATAGCTTCCATTTATAGTTAATTTCTCCACTTGTAGAAATGCTCAACATGTTTTAGAAACTGAATTTTCTCAAGACAGTTCCAAATTACTTTCAGATTGACTGTTCAGTCTGGAGAAGGAGAAAGACTATTCAGCAGCTAAGCTGCAAGTTTAATGGCAGACCATGGTTGATAGAGTCAGTGAGGAGTCAGTGAGCTTTTGGGGAAATAAGAGACTAATTAATAGTCAACTATTCACTAACTACAAATTTTTAAAAAACAACTGTATGTTATTTTTAGATTCAAGTATGTGTTTATCCCAGGTATATGTTCAAAAAGAAGAGAAACTGCTACTAACATTAGCACTAAATATGATTATAGCCAAATATTCTGTCCAATTAGAGTTAATATTTAGCTACTGTGTTGCTTTCCTGGGCTGCTTTGCAAGTAAATAAGATTCATTAGTGTTAATGGTGTTAGTGTTTTATTGATTGTTTAAATCTGGCTTTCGTATAAACCAGTGTCTGTATTGCCTGTGTTTTGTGTCATGTGTAAGCTGTGTGCAGGCAGGATAGGAGGAATGATGGACCCAAAATTGTAGACTCAAAACAAAGATTTATTACTAAATGACAAAAACAGGAAACTGGCTAAACTGGAAATACATAAACTAAACTGGCAGGCAGATGGACAGAACACACATCCTGGGATGGGATGTATTAAAGTATTCATATAAGGACATGGACATGGATTATATAAGAAAATGCAAAACTAATGTACATTTAATGGCATGCAATCATTTATACAGATCTTTTAAAAAAAGATAGTTGCTGTGGGGGGCTTTCCCTAACTTAAACATAATGCTTCCACCCTGCAGCACCCATTTGAAACATGTTCCCACACTCGTTTTACCATATTCACTTTTTTTGCAGATGTCGGCATATTGAACAGTAACACGATTACAAAAAGTGGGAAACAGTACAACTTCTGCAAGCAACAAATGCTTAATGCACCTACATGTATTTTCAAGACGTGCTGATTTAATATGCGGGATTTATATTTCCTTCTAATGGCCAATTTCTGCTTTCACAGCGTGACCACATCTTTAATAGTGTTCTCCCACGAGTAATTTTAAATAAATTCCTGTTCATATGGGACAGTTTAGCTTCCACACGCTCACACTGAAATGAATGGATATGTATTTTCTGAGTAGTGCAAGCTGGAATAACAAGAGTTATATAATATTTGTTACAGAGATCTCATATGAAAAGCGATTTTCCTGCCACAGTAAAGTTTTGCAGGCTCTAACTGCCTATATTTCTCTGTAACCTTACTGTCGTTGCGCATATTTCCAACTCCCAAGCAGTTAAAACACCTGTGGAGTTCACCCTAAATACAAGCACAAACAGGAGTCATTTAGATCTACTTCTAAGAACAAAGATGTATCCAAAATGTGTCACTCTGAGATGATAATACAAAATGAAATTTGTTGTTTACATTATAAATAACACGTCTAACTGTGAAGGTAAAGGTCAAATATTCAGTAGGACAAAAGTACAGTTCAGTACAAGAAAGTACAAAAGTAACACAGTTTATTATTTATATTCCATTGCATCTTCATTTTGCTGCTCAAAGGGCTTTTGATATCTGCAGGCATCCTTCATCAATTCAGTTCTACCTATATAACAGCAGTTGCCGTGCGCTTTACATCGTAAGATAAAGACGTCACTGTATTATATAGAGAAACTCTGAGAAAGAAGAAAAAAAACTTTTGACTGGAAAAAAATCTGAAACGGCCTCAGGGAGGGCGGCTAAATACTGCAACTGTTTGGAGTGAGGGGAAGCAAAGAGGAGAAACAAGAGCATAAAGATACGACAGTCAACATCAACAAAAATAGCAAGCTCTAAACCAGCTGTTATTACCGAGAGTTTGTAGGAAAAAGACCTGGAAACATTTATAGGGAGAGGAGACAATATGGAGAGTAAAGGAGGGGACACCATTAGACTTGGAAACAGAAGTTCACTATGTATCAGCACTTGGGAACAGTGAGTTAAAAGCTGCTTTGTCAGTTTGGATTTTTCTCCTCAACAACAGTTTTGACAATCGAGGCCCAAAATGCCACAAAAAAAAAGAAAACCTTAGTACACAGGAAATGTTTATCTCAAATTACCCTCGGTTATTTTTAACAATTGTAAATGTCATCTCTTTTTATTCTGTCAAACACTGTGTTAGTCATATCTCTTATTTTTCTCCCACACACTGAACACAGATTGTGTTCTGCTCTTAGGCTTTCCCACCATTACATATTATCAGTGTTGTCATGGTGAATGGCCCTGATTTTGAAGAGGTGGGAGTGAAGCTGTGATACGACCTGACTTTCACATTCTCTTCAGTCAGTTGTATTTAGAGCTAGCATTTCAACAAAGGTGGGGAGTTGCAGTAAGCATAAAAAACAAGCAGCTAAAAATATTAACTGATTACAAGGGGTTTAGTACATTTGGTATTAAAAGGTCAACAAAATATTTTTCAGGGATGCCCTGAATATAGCTCGAGTGAAAATGAGCAATTGTGTGTTTTCCATTTGTTTGGCCTAAAAATGTAAACATGTAACACAGGCCATACATTCAACCACAAACTTATAAGTTGTGTTTGGGGGAAAAGTTAGGTTTTGTTTTGCTGTTTGGCTTCACTAGAGCTAATAAAGTACAGGGTTCACCGAATGATTCAATAGCCAATTTTCAATAGTGGAAAGGACCTAATTGTCATCGAAATGACAAATTTGATCTTAGCACTGGTTTCATGTCTGTTGGTACTGTACCATACCATGCCATAATCTCATCGTGCCCTTCTGATAACTGCAACAATCCCCGTGCAAGGTTTAGGAAAACATGTGATTGAGCATCAAGCCCATCTGCCAACCGTCCATATTCAGTGGAAAACCAGTTACATGCAAGTTCCTCATTGTTCATTCTGGCATCACCTCACTGCTAATGGCGGTGGACAGGTCTTGGCACAGGCATGCTTTCTCTGAAAGGAACACAACCTCATTCTTGCCCTAGCTGAGCTTTTAGCTGGTGCATTGACATCCCATCTGAGACTTTTGTCATGCAGTCAGTGATGCATGTCTCGACCCACATCAAGAGGGAAAGGGCAAGAATAGCGCATTGTCATGAACATGAAAGTAGCTGGAAGGTAAAATTCATTTCATATGCAATATAAAATGCTATATATGCAAGCTGCTTTTGTGCTGAAGTTTGTTATTTTCAAACCCTCTTTGAGGACTAGAATTAATATTCAGTCTCATCATTGGCAATACAGTTACAATTATGTGTGTGATATGAATCAATGACATACCACAGGTAGGAGAAAAAAAAAGACATATGTACGCATAACAACTGAAATACTTCATGTTTCTTCTTTTTGAAAGATTATTAAGGCAAACATTGTTATTAATTTATGATAAGTACATTAAATTGTGTTGATCCAAGTAGATGGTGTACTGTGTAGCTATTTGCTGATCCATGAAACCAAACAAAACTGTAAAACAAGAACAATAAAAAGGCAAAGAATTAATATCTATATATCTGCTTTTTCTGTGCAGAGTTTGCAATTAAAATATAGTGATTATTATTTGCCCACATTAGGCTCCTAACAGAAAAAGAAAATAATAAACACACAGAAAAGTGAGTGCCTATGTATGTGTGAGACAGAGAATGTTTGTGTTTTCCAGCTAAAAGCTTTAGAACAGTGAACCGAGTTGGGCGAAGATTACAAAGTATACAGGTGTGCATACTGATCCCATGTAGG